GCTACTTAGAGCGGCATGGTGAGGAGACATGGGACAATAACACCTGGTGTTTCTAGTATAACAAATACACCTGCTTTTAATCGATAAGCCCCTGGTAAGAGGAAAGAACAGACAAACTTGTTTCCCCAGAGAAAGATACCAAGAGCTCTCTCTACATGTATACTAATGGTGGCATTTGTCACCTAGGCCAGAAGCAAGGCTTAATTTAATTTCATCTGGAAAGAGAAAGCCCTATTTATAATGCATATATGAAGTTAATTTGGGGCAGAATTATCTTGAAAGAAGTAAAGCATATGAAGAAACCTTAAGTTAAGAAACTGTCGAGAATTTGAAATTCACAGTTCTGGGAAGTAAGTTTTCTGTGGGGCCAACTCTCAAAGGAAAAGGTCATTCTTGCCTCTTACAGAAAAAAAATGTCAATGAAGCCTCAAATAAGAGTTATGTCAAAAATTGGAGTGAGTGATCAGAATACTGGCTGGTACATGTTTTACTTTATCCAGTCTAACAGTTTAAATTTACTCTAGCATTTAGGACTTATACCTTCTCAACTCAGCACTGTCTGAAATGTTTCAGTAAAGACTTCTTTTCAACAATAACTATCAATTCTTGATATACTCATATTTTACCATTTTTCTCCACAATCTCCTTCAACTTTTCAATGTGACTGGGAAGTCTAAAGCACAAAATACCACCACAGATTTTAGGAAAAATGAAGTTCACAAAAATGTCAGGCAAATTAATAAATAACCTATGTTATACTTGTAAATTTACAAGCAAATTTGGTCGACACTTCACTAGCAAAGTCATCAACTTCTCTGAAAAAAACAAAATCCTATCATTCTTCCTAAAAATACAAGAACCTCGCATAATGAATCATAATTTTGTTTTCTATGTCCCACATCATAACAAAGATTATTATAATGTAAATGGTTTCTCAAATGCTTTTCCTAAAATGACACTGACCTATCTAGAAAGCTAAGAAATATATAAATGAACCTTCTCTTAAAGAATCCACATGCTTTATTTGAATCTTTCATTCCCTTTCCCTCTCTCACAAAACACAGAGGGGTAGATTTATCAAGATAATTAACAGATTTCACTAAGTATTTTGGGGGTCAGCAAGGGCAGAAATCCAATATGGACAAACCTATAGCAGGAACAAAAGTGGGAGGAGCCCTGCTAGCTAGGCAATCATGGAAAGGTGGGACTTTGATAAGAGGTGGCTCAGAATGGTCCTGTTTCTCACTCTCTGAAAGGCAGTCTCTTCACTTAGTAACACAAACAAAAAGCCAAAGCCAAAACCAAAGCCAACAACCAGGGCAAGTTGACAGAGGATCTAGAAACTGTTTCAAAGACTGAATTTGAAAGCAGAAAATTCTGAGGTGTGTGTAGGAGGTTGTCTATTTTCTTTAGGAAGCCTTTGAGAATTGTGGTACCAGACAGAACTTGTATCAAATATGAAAGGAAGCTAACACTACTGCTCTCATTGATGCAATTCTGAAACAGTACAGAGACTACAAATCGTTTTCATGTTAACGTGATTAATGTAAAAAATAGAATTTCCCCCTTTTTTGGGAAAAAAAAGAGAAGAAACTAGGAAGATGGTGAGTTTTTTTTATGGACTGAGAGTTAGACAATGGGAAAAATCAACTTCTTTGATTCTTTTTCTTATCCCTGTGGGAAAAAAGTCAGACTGAAGGAAAGAGCACTTTTTACCTGCTGAAAAAGATGGAATATGATATAACTATAGGTAAGACAAATAAGATAATCTTTATAGATGTAGAGAACATTGGAAGTAAAACTACAAGATCATAAAATCTGGCAACCTTTCAATAATCATTTTGGAAAATTAATTATTCCTAAAACACTTGAGAGGTCTCAGACTTAATATTATCAGCTTTGTTTAATGTAACATTTTACACTAGCATACATTTTAAGCTGTGCCTTTAAAATCATTTTCTAAATTGCTCCAAGAAAATAAAAATTGTGTTTATATTACTGCAAACACAAATTACTTAATTTTGATATAACATATTAAAGGCACTACTAGCACATTAAAAGCAGTACTTTAATACTTAGTACTTATTACATTTTCAGTCTGTGTAATCATTATATAATCTAACCTCTCACACAGAATTATTCAAGGTTGCTGAAATTTTGCTTCATAATTTTAATTGTTTTTCATGTTTCACGTAGCATATATGTATTTGAGTGACAGAATAAAATGCAACTTTACAGTTACTGTAAACTGCAGAGCACAATGTTAAAAGCGTGAATCAGGCTGCCCCCTAGTGTCATTTTAGCTACAAAGCTTTGGAAACATTTTTAAATGTGAGATTTAGATAGAAAAGTGCTTCAAGCTACTATTTAAAAAAGTAATTATCTGTATGTGCTTTAAAAAAATCTTAAAAGTATTAGAAAAAAGGTTGGAAAGAAGAGCCATCATCACTTACACTCAAGCAAACAGGATTTAAGTCTCCTGGTTTGCAGCAAGATCTCCTTTCATATTCAGAAGTAACACTGAAAGACTCTTCTGGTGTTACTTATGTGCTTGCTCCTCCAAGAGACAGGGAAGACACAGTAGTAACCCTGAGTGCAGCTCACTCAGGTGACTGAACAGATGGGTGGTAAAATAGGAACCTGGAAACAGTGACAAGTCACTGCATGTCATCAGTGTGCTGACCACCCAAGACAGAAATCATGCCCAAAGGCAGAGTCTTCGGTGTTTTATTGCTTTATTATCGCAAGTCCATGACCATACAGAGCCTGCTGTGCTCTGGACATCCTTCTCACAGCGCTGGCTAGAGTATGAATACTGGTGAGGAAAGGGCTATCAAGAAGAAAGACAGCTCATGATGTAGATGTACATATCCTTACATTGTATCAGTTATCTTATGTCAAGTATTTTGGCTCCCTGTGGCCTTATCTAAAGTTCCCTGTAGCCATCTTCTTTACGTAGTCAACTATTAAGAGTTAAACTTAGCTATGTTTTTACCAGATTTTGCTTTGGTCGTCTAAAAAAGGTAAGTAAAATGCCATGACTTTATTGAGATCTCAATAGTAATAAAGAAAACAGCATACTGAGTAAGGCTTTGTTAGTATCAAAGGCATTATATGAATATAGTACAGTATAATACATTATATTAATACATTAAAAATAAGCATCTGATTTGAAAAATAAAAATACAATTTTTTTATAAAAAGAACATAGATGGTGGCTAAATTCCTAAAAGATCTTCCTATGTGACTAACAAAAAATGTAATTCTGGCTGGGAAGGTGGCTCAGTGGTAGAGCGCTTGCCTTGCATGTCTGAGGCCCTGGGCTCGATTCCTCAGCACCACAAAAGCAAAAAGGAAAAAGCCGGAAGTAGCCCTGTGGCTCAAGTGGTAGAGCGCTGTCCTTGAGCTGAAGAGCTGAGGGACAGCGCCCAGGCCCAGAGTTCAGGCCCCATGACTGGACCCCCCCAAAAAAATGTAATTCTGGAAGCGAAGAAATATAGAATATAATAAAGCAACATTAGCTGAATTCTTATTGCTTTATTCCATGTAATCTTGCAAAGATTTTTGTTTTTCAAAATATAATCATTATGATCCTATTAATTTTGGGAAGAGTTCATACATGCTCATTTTCTACTTTAAAGGAGATTATTCTGTGATCTTAATATTTTAAATAAAACATAATTCTGCATGCGGACCAATAGATTTGTATCTCAATTTTCAGAGCTAAATGAAACAGTTACTTTAGTTAAGTCAAGTTTCACAAATTAGTGTCTATTTCAGTATTTTAAAACTTTTTCAAAATAAATATATTTAGAAAAGTGACCCATGTTAGAAACATAACACAGACAACAATGCTAAAAAGTAAAAAAAATAGGGGCTGAGAATGTGGTAGAGTGCTTGCCTAGCATGCACGAAGCCCTGCATTCGATTCCTCAGCACCACATAAACAGAAAAAGCTGGAAGTGACTCTGTGGCTCAAGTGATAGAGTACTAGCCCTGAGCAAAAGAAGCTCAGGGACCATGCCCAGGCCATGTTCAAGCCTCCAGATTGGCCAAAAAAAAAAAAAAAAGGTAATGTTCCTACACAGAGAAGAGGCATGTTGATGTAACTGTATAAGAAAGAAAACTATAAACTCCAAACTTGCACCTTAATACTAATAAGGAATTAAAGTTCACATAAGCTTAACAACTTTATGTTCTGGTAGAGAAGAAAGAGAGAGACGTTGGTATTTGTTCTGGCCTATTATGAACCAGGAACCACAGTGGGTATTCTTTTTACAATCTTTGCAGCAAAGACACTGAGCTCTTAATATTTTCTTTTTAGCTGTGGGGAAATAGGTACAGAGAAGTCAGGTGGTTGCTACTCCTCACTAGCTAGTCCTAGTTGAGTTGGGCTGTCTGATGTTCCAGGACCATCAGGAGTCTCAACTAAAGTCTACAATGAAGGCTGCAGAGGGCACTAACACAGTGATTCTTAAATGATTTGGAGAAGAAAGCTATACTAAGAGCTCCTAGCAGATTCTCATGCTACCAACCATTTCCCTCCCTGGCCTCGAAGCCAGGCCTTTCATAGCTCGGCAGAAAGGTACAGGCCCCTTAGAAACCTGGTCATCAGTCCTTGCCTCTTAAGACCTCAGCCCTTTCTTCTTTGCTACACAACCTTGCACATCCATTTTGGTTCAAAATGAAAGTAAAATGCCATGACTTTATTGAGACCTCAATAGTAATAAAGAAAACAGCATACTGAGTAAGGCTTTGTTAATATTAAAAAGATTACATTAATACATTAAAAATAAACATCTTATTTGAAAAAATATATATAACAATAGGTAGTATTTAATTAAATATATTATTTAATATCCACTAAAAAATTAAGCAGAATTAATTTTCCCATTAAAGGCCACACTATGAATAAAACCATGAACTGTTCTAAAAACTCTGTAAGTAATAAAAATAATAAAACATCTTAGATATTAAAAAAGTAATGCTCTTAAACTTACCTTAAGCCATAGCAAGGCAAAGTGAGGAGCCTGAATAGCGCCAGGCATACTCTTAAAGGGAGCAGGGTGAACACATACAGAAATGCATCCAGGCACAGGAAGATTCCAAAAAACATGAGCTGCATTTTAAAAGGAGAAGGGAAAAAAGTGAAATATTTTTAAATATAGATAAAAATTGCAAATTCTCAGGGAATTTCTAAACTATGGGAAATTAATTTCAACATTTAGCCTAGGGAAGAAAAATTTAAATACGTTCACTATGTGCTGCATTTTAGAGATAGTCCTTTTTCTTTCTCTCTTTTTTTTATTGTCAAGGCAGCGTACAGAGGGGTTACAGTTACATAAGTAGTGAACACATTTCTTGTTGAACTTATGTCCTTTTTCAAAGTTCGAGTTTATGCTTCTGCCAGAATCTTTCATTCAATTACTCAAAAAACAAGTTGCCCTTGGCCATAGCTTTGATGAACTCATGTGGAGTTCTGGGCTTCCTCAAACAGCAGGCTGAGCACCAGTGGCTCACTCTTGTAATCCTAGCTACTCAGGAGGCTGAGATCTGAGGATCATAATTCAAAGCCAGGCCAGGCAGAAAAGACTCTGTGAGACTCTTATCTCCAATTAACCACCAAGAAACTGGAAGTGGGGCAGTGGCTCAAAGTGGTAGAGTGCTAGCAGCTATCCTGGAACAAAAAGAGCTCAGGGACAGTGCCCAGGTCCTGAGTTCAAGGCCCACAACGACTACACACACAAAAGAGATAATAGAAAACCCTTCAGATAAAACTTAAATAAAAACTTTGTTCCACCATTTCCTGTTTATCAGAACAGACAGTAAAAATACTGTTTATGTTCCAAATAGGTGAATGGATGACTGACATACTTCCATGTACACTGAGAAATGCTGTACTCAAGAGGCCCTACTTTTATCCCCACAACTACTCTTACTAATCTCCCCTTTAATTTTTGTGTACTTGCCATGTGCTTTCTTTCTTTTACTTTTGCCTGTTATATTTAGCTCTGCTTCATAGGATAAGGGTGGAGCCTTTTGGAGGCTTGAATTAGCCACTAACACTGGTGACTTCTGGTAAGCCCCACATACGTAACATCATAACATCCATGCGCCTGCAGTCAAAAAACTGCCCTACCAACATGCATTTGTGACTTCAATCAAATTCATATTTTAAAAGTTCTAACTGCCAGGAGACACTGTGCTTAAAGTTGTGATTTTAGTTAAAATAAAGTCATTGCAATGGGCCTCGATCCAGTTGGATTGTTGTCCTTCTAAGAAAGGTGATTAGGACACAGATATGCTCAGAAGACCACATGAAGACACTGGGAAATAGTGGCTATCTACAAGAGAGGCCTCAAGAGAAACCAAGCTTGCTAACATCTTAATCTAACCTCAGCCACCAAGACAAAGACTATAAATTCCTGTTTCTTAAATTACTTGAATAGTATACATAACCTACATCTTCAAATAAATGCACAAATTCTATTTATTTTTGACAGAATGTCTCAGAAATATAAATATGTTGGATTCCTTATTCTGATATGAAGATTTTATGGTTTTTCAACAACTCAGACTCATTATGAACAATGAAAGCATAATGCTACCCAGGCATACGATTCTTTAAATCTTCCTCCCCTCCTCCTTAACTGTTGCTGGTGTAGACTGAGTAATGGTCCTTATTGGCTACTTGGCCTTTCTTTGCCTGCTGTAGGAACATGGAGGACAGAAACTATGGACCAGATTAGGCACAAGACTCCAGGAAGGGGACTATGTGGTTGTTTTCTTCATGAGGCTATGCTGGGAATTAACATATTATCCCTGAATTCAGCCAACATCTGTTAAGCTGGTAATATGCAAGAAATACACTCTGCCCAGCAGGTTCAGAAGACAGCAGAAAGCCATGCTATAGGTCCTGCCCTCAGGAGGTTTCTAACTGTGTTCCTGTGAGAAATACAGACCTGGTGGTCAGTTCAGTGCTAGTAGCCGCCATGTTAGACCTGAGTGTCAAGGAATAGGGGAGGCCCAATGGGCAAATCAACTCAGGCCCTTAAGAAAGTGAGAATGGACTGGGCAGAAGAGAGCAGTTGGGGTGGGAAGCCAAGCAATGCACATATGTGAAAAGTACTCACAAGGAAAGCTAAACCCTGTTAAAAGTAGTCTCCATCTGTTTTTGGAATCTCCATCATTGTATCATAAAGATGAAGAGAGATGGAGAGCTAGTCAGTGGTGACATGTAAAGACATTTCTGTAATGTGAGAATAAATAGTTTATAGATACGAGAACACAAAATTCCAAGGAAAAGAAAGTGGTGTGTGGTTCAAGTGGTAGAGAGCTAGCCCCAAGTCCAAGGAGGCTTAGAGACAGCATCCAGGGCTTCAGTTCAAGCCCCAGGACTAGCAAAAAAAAAAAAAAAAATCAAAGGAGAAGGGAAAAGGTATGGAGATTATAAATATACTAGCTTCAGTACCTACTGCTCTGATGCTAAGACTTCTAAAAAACACAGCCTTCTTTTGAAGTCCTTACACATAAAAAGGAAAAAACTGCCTACAAGAGTAATCAAGATATAATCCTGAGAACATCATCTGCAAAGCATAAAGCAGCTCATGACAGGCTTATGTGAAATGGCACATGAAGCTGGTGGTCCACACATGGGGACCTGCACTGCTCTAGGCAGGTGGTGAGTGCTCACGACATGCTCCTAACAGCTCTTTGAAGGATGACTGCCTCAGCTTGACACACTAGGAAGCTCTGGAGGCTGGCTGCTTGCCCAGGGATGTACGAGAGTGAAGGAATCAGCCTTATAAACTTGCATTGTCTGACCCAAGGCCTCACACTTGCTCTTAAATACAGTCTGAGCAAAGCAACTGGCACTTTTTTTTTTTTTAATTAAGAACAGGAGTTAAAGCAGTTGTCCTTGGGCTAACTTGTTTTGTCAAGTTGCTTAATGCCATAAAAAAGAAGAAATATTAATTTAATGAACCAAACTATTATAAAAATCTCAAGTATTCAGATGTTCTGCTAGCTTTGAGATATGTTAAGAATTAAAAGCTTTGAGATATTAGTAAGAATCACATGAATTTTCATTCGTGTGGCATCTTGATAAAGTAGGTAATTATTATTTCCTTTTTATTCAGACTAAATAATCATAGTCAGTCATTTGTAGGCATTAGTTAATGAAATTTTTCTTAAATACACAAGGTATGAAAAGTAATCAAATCAGTGCCCTATGCCATTGGTTTCCTTCTGATAAGCACGAAAGTACCCCGCCCTCCTTTAAGTCATTTCAAGGCCAGGCGCCAGTGGTCACAACTGTAATCCTAGCTTCTCAGGTGGGCTGATATCTGAGGGTAGTGGGTCAAAGTCAGCCTGACCAGGAAAGTCCATGAGATTTTCATCTCCAATTAATCACCAAAAAGTAGGAAATGAGCTGTGGCTCAAGTGGTGGCGTATCAGTATTGAATGCTAAGGGAGAACACCTAGACCTTGAGTTCAAACCCCAGTGTCAGCATCCATGTGTTTGCACACACTTATTTTGTGGCTGGAATGAATGCACAGTGACTTTGGAACGAATGCACAGTGACTTTGGAACATATCTCCTTAAGTCACAGGTGGCAGTCTGTTCTGTCAGTGGAGTCACACCTGGTACATCAGATCCTTGTCACTCTTCCCACTCCTCTCTTCAGTCCTGCCTCTGCAACCTCGCCGCACCTTATGCATCCTGTAAAATGTGGATTCTTACTCTAAGCTCTTGCTCACCTTTATAAGGCCTACAATCAACAGGTCATTTCTTTGAACTTGCAATTATATATAAAACAAAGTTCAGAAAACCAAAATATGGGAAGGAACTAAAGCATAATGAGAATAGCAGAGAAAAAAAATCACTTTTACTTTCTGTGGCACACATGCTTTTCCTTGGGGATGAAGACAAAAATGCTACCTGAGGTCTTGGGTGGATTCTATTCTCATCTAGATCATTTTTTGATCTATTTCTCTGTCCTTCCCTTAACCAAGCGTTTATTGTACAGTTCTGGACAGGCTGGTGATGTCTATCATTGCAACACTCAGCTGGCTGAGGCAGGTGGATTATGAGTTCTAGGCCTACCTGGGTTACTTAGTTGTTTCAAACCAATCTGGGCTGCACAGCAAGACAAAACAACAAAATAAAGAAATAAGTAAACAGACAGAACTTAGTCACTGTTTTAAAAAGGTTTAAGGAGCTTACTGCCCAGAGAAGAGGATTCTAATTTTGCCATAGTTAGAAATATACTTCACATTGTAATCTACTATGCAGAGATCCATATATACACTTAAAAAATGGAAAAGCAGAGCTTCACAAAAAATAACACTTTTGCTTTATGAAAACAGGCTAGTGTCATCTTTCTTTTTTTAAAAAAAATAAAAAGCTACTCTCATTAAATTCAAGCCCACTAGTGGGTGCTAACTCTGAAAATCAGGTTCCAATAGGCAGATGGTTTGTAAAAATAAAGGATCCTCCACATGTGGCTATCTTAGGTCCTGGAGACAATTTAAGCTGGAGTTTCGCAGAGGATAGAGATGTGAAATAGTACTTTTTGGGGGGGAAGGGGAAGGGGAAGTTCAAAGTTAAAAGCTCTGAGTGATACATTTTAGAGACTACGTTTTAAAGTATTTTCTTAAAATTCCTTCTAGGCATAATCATTAATTAACGAAATGGTTCCTGCAATTCTTAGAGGTACAAAAACTCAAAGGACAGAAACATGCACCAGACTTCCACTACAGGTGGCAGGCTGGGTCCTGCCTGTGTGTGGGCCTCAGTCCCTCTTCACCCCCACTCTGAGGGGCAGGGAGCAGCACCCCCGCTCTGCAGCAGTGCTAAGGAGTGTTCCTAATTTCCTGGTCAGAAAAAGCAGGGCCTACATCTCGGACTGCAAAAAACAGAAGCACCATTTCTACTAATGCCACTTGTCTCTCAAGGCTCAAACTCATTGCTGGATCTGACAGTGTCTATATAGTTTAAGATGATTTAACTTTAAAAAAAAAAACAACTATTACCATTGATCTTTCATGTTGAGGAAATAGCTACGAGGAATGCTCCCTTAACACTTCAGGTCAATGTAAAAAGGTCTATAAATTGCT